AAGTCCGGAAACTGCAATTCGGCGCATGTAAAATTGGTATTGTTTACGCTCCCTGAGAAAGTTACTTTTGGCGCCTGAAAGCCTTCGTGATCACTTCTGATACTAGCACTTAATGGTGGCGACATAAAGGCATCGTAGCAACCGTTTTCATTGTATGTTTTATTTAACGTCGCCTTATTTTTACCGAACATATCTTCGCAGTGGGTAGGAATGGTCAGTGGAAGCTGCTGTGACTTCATTGTGGAAAACATTTAGATTTTTTAATGTATATAGATGTGTCAACAGGTTGAGTCGCTGTCACATTAGCACTACCGGCAAATTACATACATTTAAGAGACGGCACACTTTTGATGTTCTCAATGGCTCGGCCAATTGCCAAATTCGACGACGAACACGGGAAATCCCAAAACAGAGCAACACAAACGCACGCACACGAACGCTAAAGTGTTCTATTTCAATAATATTGTACTGATTTTTATTTCTTGTGATGTTCACGCCACCGCGTTGTGTCTGACAATAACCCGCAGTTCAGTGGCTGCACGATATTTAAATGCCCGGAACGAAACATAGGTCCTGAGCTGGGGCTCTGCTCCCGACTCTGCCGCTGCGACACCCTGTCATGATCGGTGGTAGTTGTATTTATAATACTCTTGGATTTTCTTCTTTATAAGAACATGTGCGTCCGTTTCTGCTGCAATACTTTTCGTAATTTCCTCTCCTTTCCTTTATTCCCGGCGTGATGTTCCCTGATCAGCACACGAGTATAAAGAAATTGTGCGTCGTATAGTTCTGAGCGGATAGGAAATTTGCTGGATTGTTGCATATGTGCATAAAACGTAAATATTCATTACTAACGAAAAACAACAAGTAATGAAGAGGATTACTCTAAACTGTGTGCATTTATATTTACATTTCCAACTGAACGCGTGACCGGGGACCTTTTTTCAGCGCACCACTGCAACGGTCTTGGCACAGGCACATATGGTGCCAGTCTGTTTTAGGTTCCAATTCCTCGCCCCCACCGGAGTGTAGCAGATAGACGGTGAGCGCTTGTCGAACGCTTTAGCACTATTTTTTATTGCTACATAATATTTTGTCTCTCCAGGCACCGCCAGAGCATAAAAAATACAGTGAGACTATGAGCTAAATTTATTAAGGCAACTCATTTCCGAACAACTATTTCATCTGCGGCATGAGGCAAAAATGCACAGACACAGACACAGACTCATGGCAATCGGAAAGAGTGTTGATGCTGATCACTTTGGCCTGTCCCTGGCCTCAAGTGCATGCGGCTTCTCTTCTTCACTTCAGATGCAACTGTTACTGTAAGTGTATGCATACATATGCATAACTTTACGATGTGTTTTTTTTTTTTTGCTATTTTTAGTTCTTTATCCAGCTGAGCAATCGGTCTGACAATATGTTTTCAATTTGCGATACGAAAATGCATCTTCCGCACTATTTTTGCAAACTGCAAAAAATGTTTCATTTTTTATTCTATTAAGAATCTTTAAACAAACCATATTTCTATTAATCCAGTAGAGTTTAATTATTATAAAATCTGGCAACGTGACTGTGGGTTAGGTAGTTCGGAAATCTAACAGGGCTAGAATAGCCTCTGCATATCCAAATCTGTCAATACATGCACGTGAACTTATATAAGTACATCCCATTGTATTTAATTGAAATTTATGTTTTGGCAAACAACGCATTTTGGCACACGCTCTGTGGCCAATAACAGCTGTTTGCCCCACTAGTTCGCATTAAGTCCGTTCAGAAACGCTTAACACTCAACATATAAACACTTGAATATTTGTCATTTATATGCATGCTCAAGGGATACCAATGCTATACGCTCGACAAACCAGTGTTCGCGAAAAAAATTTGGCACATGCCCAAAGCCAAACTGTAGGCATTTCCACGGATTTACTTGTTCTGTTTCCCCCAAAGTGCGACAACTTACATCATCGTTAAAATTAGTGGCCATTTTGACGTCGCTGCGGACTACTTGTGCAAAAGATGGGGCTAAGGTGCCTTTGTCTATGAAATGATCTTATTTTATTTTAACTCCCTTGTAGAGGGTGTATAGCTTTATCAAGAAATGTATTCTGCAATGAAAAAGACATTGCCAATTCTGTAAAGTATATGTCTTCTTAATCAATCATACGATCTCAGCTAGTACAGTCATGTCTATCTGTCTGTTTCAGTTTCATAACTATCTTAATAAAACTTAACAATTCTTCCATTAACATATAGGAAAGATCTTGGCATGAAGGGTATTTCATGTTTGGCAACCTAATAAAAACAGTTTCTTCTTTTAAAAAATGACGCACGATGAAGTCTGCATTTATTGAGAAAAAACTAAATATTTTCGCTACAAAATATTTGTTTCAATTATGCGATTAGCCTGTAAAAGGTATAATACAGTTCCAGAATATATGAAATACAGGCACAAAATTTGTAATTTAGACAGTGACTCTCCTAGTCGGGGACTGAGCCTCCTATAGAGTTCTGTTCAACATTAAGGAGTAATAGGTATTACTTTAATATCTTTTAAAATCAATTCATTTGAGCAGTATGGGGGTAGGGTATACAATAAAGTGTGCCCACGTATGACTGCTTCAGTAAATACTTGCAAATTAAAATACATGAATAAATGTTTTTGTTAAAAGTACTCGACTAAAGATATCCTTTGCGCAGATAATAAATAATAAATTTAATTTTCATATGTATAACGTATAAATAATAAGTATGTGCTCTGTCGGCCTTTCTTTTACATTGAATATATCAGCACATATAATTATAACACAGTCGGCTCGTCTAGCATGTTTATCGTTAAACATAATTTAGTTTTTTACTAGCTACTTGACGCATCACGAATACAGTCATCCCTTAGAACTAACGCTCGAACTTCTTGAACTCTCTTCAAATCGAAATAAATGTCTGCAAAATTATAGATGTAATCTGACCTACGACTTGAACTTAACCAAACCCTTACACGAATACACACAGGGATATAGCTGTCAAAATGTCAAATGATTGCGCTGACATGCGTGTCATGGTCGCAGTTATAGTTGCTTCATTTGTCCGTGATTTGTTTGTGCACAATTATATTTTCCATTTTAAAATATTTCTGTTAGCGCTGAAAAAGTGTCATTTTGTCACGTTGTCCCGCTTGTATATAATATACTAGTACTTTGATTTCTTGACATTTTTACAACTAACTGCCGCAATGAATTCGAGCTAGAACATGTGTGACTAGTTCAAAAGTTGACAGCAAATTGACTGTATTTATAAACATTTTTTGGTCTGACAGAATAAAAACGATATTAGGAGCAGCCAAGCAATACACGCACGCCCCCAAAACAATTTTATAATTTTAGTTTTATGATCCCAACAATGCTGCCCTTAAACTGAAACAGTTATGTTAATTAATGTTATTTTAAAAGCAAAGCCTTTTTGTTACCTTTACGTTAGTAGAAAACGCAATACTGAACGCAATACGTGCACATAATATTATATGAACATGTCATTAATGTGCTTAGATTTGGTTTTTTAGTAACCACAGTTTCGCATAAAAAAATGTTTTGCACAGGAGGATCATTGAATCCGAATGCACAGAATTACTTACTTTATGATTATGTCTAGCTTTTAATATTAACAGATAAGTCGGCTCGACTTGCTCCAAGGCGCAAACGGTTACAAACTTCCCACGCATCAACAGCTAAATATTTACGACTTCATCAAAAAATTGTATTCAAATGTCTCTCAGTGGGGGATTGGTCGATAATCAGGAACGTAAGTCCCTTGTTTGTTCGAAGCCCTTTACTTAAAAAGTGCGCGTTAAAGACAAAGACAAACAAACTGACACGCTGACACCACCACATTTGAGTTTCAATCAGGCTGCCAATGAGGCGTTCAGTGAGACACGTCAATAATTGCTACATAAATAAATATATATGTACACACACTAGCGGATATACCCAGGCCTTACTCGTGGTACGTATAAGCTAAATTCTCTCAATGCTCTTTAAAAAAGAGTTCAATAACGATCAGATGGTAACGAAATTTACCACTTTTGCGGGCGAAATTTCCCAAATCGGTGAATCACGTATTCATTAGATAAAAATATTAAATACTTAGATGCCTAAACCTTTTCAAAATTGGATGAGATTAGACCGAATTATGGGGGAATTATGTTTACATTATAGTTACAACCCAAATTACAGTAGGCTGGCAAATAACAATATGTTCATAAAATTTAAATCCGATTCTGTTAATGAACTCATGTTTGCATATCGGTGTGCCCACCAAAAACATGTCACAGGGGATGTCTATAAAAAGTAGTTTAGTCTAGTCTAGCAACTAATAGATGTTGGTTATTGTGTTCGTCGTTATTTGACTGTAAGCACAAGCTCAAAATAATATTTTTCTGCAATCCACTAATATATTTTATTATTACTCTAAAAAGTGGCCGTCAACTAATAAAGGTGGGTCAATGTTTTTATTGTTTTTTGAGTCTGAGCAGAAACTCAAAATAACATTTTTCTGCAATGCACTTTTTATACCCTGAACCCATTAAAAATGGGTATAAGGGTATATTGTATTTGTGCGAAAGCCAAATGTATGTAACAGGCAGAAGGAAGCTTCTCCGACCCCATAAAGTGTATATATTCTTGATCAGCATAAATAGCCGAGTCGATCTAGCCATGACCGTCTATCCGTCCGTCCGTCCGTCTGTCCGTATGTATGAACGCAAGGATCTCAGAACCTATAAGAGCTAGAGACTTGAAATTTTAGATGTAGGTGCTCCTAGCTCCCGCGCAGATCGAGTTTGTTTCCAATAATCGATAACATACTCCGTTTCCAAGCAATCGATAAAAATCGATATCGATATCCAGTTTTTTTGGGCAATTTTGGTAAATAATAAGAGCCAGAGTCACCAAACTTGACATATAGCTTCTAAAATAGAATATATATGCATTTGATGTTGGAAGAAGAGGGTTCAGGGTATCCCCTAGTCGGGAGCTCCCGACTAGAACCTCTTACTTGTTTTTCTTTAATTTCTTAACGAAAGTAAGCTGCCACCAAACATTATGTTTTTGGTGCGTTCAGTTTCGAAGCTTATAAAACTGGTGAATCTGCTTATTAGCAATCAATAGAAATAAATTATCCTGCCAGCTGACCGGTAATAGACTGCGAAAGATAAAATTAAAATGAAGGCACAAATATAACATGCTACAGAATATAAACTTACACTAGAGCACGATACATTATAGAAGCAATTCCTGGAAGGAGTACTTCGCGCTCGCCACGAAGCATCCCTTGGACAATGCGACGAGCAGCGGCAGGTCCACTGATTAATGGATAGAAATCATTAAAGCGTACATTTTTCGCAATCTTTGTGATCTCGTCATTGGTCTGGAGAAACGAAGGCATTACCGTGCAGACATGAATGTTGTGCTGCCTTTCAAAAGCTAACTCCAAGCGAAGTGCCTTCATATGCCCGCAGACCCCGGACTTAGAGGCACTATAAGGACTGTTGTAGGGTAAGGAAAATATACCTGTAATGTAAAAAAAAATGTAACAATTTTTCCCTTAATACACAGATAATATAAACTTACTACTAAGAGAACTTATACTGACGATGTGCCCTTTGCGCAGTTGTTTCATGGTAGGTAGAAATACACTTTTAGTCTAGTGGGGAATTTAAAAACAGGTTACTGCATGACATACATGCTGCTTAGTAAATATAGGCTTACCCAAAAATGGGATGTTAAGTTTACATCAATCATACGCTGAACATCGTTTGGCTCAGGCTCTACAGAATTATTTAGCAAAAGAATACCTGCATTGTTAACGAGAATCGTCACTGGACCAAGATCGTTGACGACATTTGATTTCAGCTCATTAACCTCGGTGTAATTGGCCACATTCACCTTGGGTCGGTCGTAAAATTAAGATTCATGCTAAAAAATTTATTTTTACCGACCTTATAAGCCTTGGCTTGCACTGTAAAAGTCTCACTGATTTGTTTAACAGTTTCTTCGGCGCCTTGTAAATCAATATCAACTATGGCCATGTGACATCCCATTTTAGCAAGTTCAAGAGAGATAGCACGGCCAAGTCCGTGAGCACCTCCAGTTACCTACATATGCAATCATTGAAATAATGTACACATCTTTATACATTGAAGTAAAAAACAAGTTACTCAAATAATTACTGTTATTACCACGTAACCTGCTTATGCATGTCAACCTTCAACAAGTGTAGTGCGACATTAAACTAGAAGCGGAGATCTGTACTTGATCTGTGAACTTTATATATAATTTATTCATTTCAAACATGGTTTAAGGGTTATAATAAAGGATTCATTTAAAAAATATTTTAAAAGATGTTTGGAAAGTCAAGTAAAAGAAGCATTTTCGACCAATAGAATATATATATATGTTATCATCATGCCGACCTGAGTTGGAGTATTTATGTCCGTAAGTCGTGGCTTATAGAATATTAAAAAAACAAGTAAGAGGTTCTAGTCGGTAGCTCCCGACTAGGTGATACCCTGAACCCACTTCTTCCAACATCAACTGCATATATATATTCTATTTTAGAAGCTATATGTCAAGTTTGGTGACTCTGGCTCTTATTATTTACCAAAATTGCACAAAAAAATGGATATCGATTTTTATCGATTGCTTGGAAACGGAGTAAGTTATCGATTATCGGAATCAAGCTCGATCTGCGCAGGAACTAGGAGCATCTACATCTAAAATTTCAAGTCTCTAGCTCTTATAAGTTCTGTCAAATTGATTAAGAGATCACACCATGAACAAAAAGCCAAACCTTATGAAAATCGGATGAGATTTGACCGAGTTATGGGGCTGGGAAATTTTGACATATGTCTAGTTAGGATATTTGAGGGAACAATTTGTACATGAATTTTGACCAAAAATACTGTTGCCAGTTTTTGATGCCAAATTGATTTAGAAGCCAAACCATGAACAAAAAGCCAAACCTTATGAAAATCGAATGAGATTTGACCCAGTTATGGGGCTGGGAAATTTTGACTTATGTCTATATAAGTATTTTGAGGGTACAAATTTTACATTAATTTTGACCAAAAATACTGTTGCCAGTTTTTGATGCCAAATTGATTTAGAGGTCAAACCATGAACAAAAAGCCAAACCTTATGAAAATCGGATGAGATTTGACCGAATTATGGGGCTGGGAAATTTTGACTTATGTCTAGTTAGGATATTTGAGGGTACAATTTGTACATGAATTTTGACCAAAAATACTGTTGCCAGATTTTGATGCCAAATTGATTTAGAGGTCAAACCATGAACAAAAAGCCAAACCTTATGAAAATCGGATGAGATTTGACCGAGCTATGGGGTTGGGAAATTTTGACTTATGTCTAATTAGGATATTTGAGGGTACAATTTTTACATGAATTTTGACCAAAAATACTGTTGCCAGTTTTTGATGCCAAATTGATTTAGAAGCCAAACCATGAACAAAAAGCCAAACCCTATGAAAATCGGATGAGATTTGACCCAGTTATGGGGCTGGGAAATTTTAACTTATGTCTAATTAGGATATTTGAGGGTACAATTTTTACATGAACTTTGACCAAAAATACTGTTGCCAGTTTTTGATGCCAAATTGATTTAGAAGTCAAACCATGAACAAAAAGCCAAACCTTATGAAAATCGGATGAGATTTGACCAAGTTATGGGGTTGGGAAAATTTGACCTTTGTCTATATAGGATATTTGAGGGTATAGTTTTTACATGTATTTTGACCAAAAATACTGTTGCCAGTTTTTGATGCCAAATTGATTTAGAGGTCAAACCATGAACAAAAAGCCAAACCTTATGAAAATCGGATGAGGTTTGACCGAGTTATGGGGTTGGGAAAATTTGACCTTTGTCTATATAGGATATTTGAGGGTATAGTTTTTACATGTATTTTGACCAAAAATACTGTTGCCAGTTTTTGATGCCAAATTGATTTAGAGGTCAAACCATGAACAAAAAGCCAAACCTTATGAAATCGGATGAGATTTGACCGAGCTATGGGGTTGGGAAATTTTGACTTATGTCTAATTAGGATATTTGAGGGCACAATTTTTACATGAATTTTGACCAAAAATACTGTTGCCAGATTTTGATGCCAAATTGATTAAGAAGTCAAACCATGAACAAAAAGCCAAACCTTATGAAAATCGGATGAGATTTGACCCAGTTATGGGGCTGGGAAATTTTGACTAATGTTTATATAAGTATTTTGAGGGTACAATTTTTACATGAATTTTGACCAAAAATATTTGTTGCCAGTTTTTAATGCCAAATTGATTTAGAGGTCAAACCATGAACAAAAAACCAAACCTTATGAAAATCGGATGAGATTTGACCGAATTATGGGGCTGGGAAATTTTGACTTATGTCCAGTTAGGATATTTGAGGGTACAATTTGTGCATGAATTTTGACCAAAAATATTGTTGCCAGATTTTTATGCCAAATTGATTTAGAGGTCAAACCATGAAAAAAAGCCAAACCTTTTGAAAATCGGATGAGATTTGACCCAGTTATGGGGTTGGGAAATTTTGACTTATGTCTATATAAGTATTTTGAGGGTACAATTTTTACATGAATTTTGACCAAAAAAATTTGTTGCCAGTTTTTGATGCCAAATTGATTTAGAGGTCAAACCATGAACAAAAAGCCAAACAGACAGACGGACATAGCTAGATCGACTCGGCTATTGGTGCTGATCAAGAATATATATACTTAATGGGGTCGGAGATGCTTCCTTCTACCTGTTACGTACATTTGGATTTTCACAAATACAATATACCCTTATACCCATTTTTAATGGGTTCAGGGTATAAAAACATAGCAATCTTGTTTCAATGAAAACGATCAGATTCCATTTTCAGTCGTAACTTATTAGACGGAACCCCAACTTTTCCAAAAAAGTTTACTAACAGTATAAACATAACAAGAAAACATGACTGGACAACACGGAATTGTAAGACTGTTTAAACACGGTGTCTCCCAGTCTGGCACTCAACTAAGGCACTATAATTTGTACACTTTAATTTAAATTCGTTGAAACTCTCGATAACTACATACCAAAGCCACCTCGCCTATAAAACTTTTTCTGGACGGAACAAAGAATGTATAGAAACTTTCACAGATTTTGGCCACCAAAGCTGCCAGAAGCAGCAGTGGAGTGGCGCAAAGAAGGACCGACAAGGCCACTGCGGCCTGCAGTTTTATCAGCGCGCTATGTAGAGACATGATTTAAGAGCAAGATATTTTTTAAGACTAAATAGCTCCGCGTAGCTATGTGTGCACTTTGCGACTGTTTACAGTGTTTACGAAAGCGAAGCTAAAACACCTGAGCTGCTTAACAAACTACGTAAGATGTTTTAAAGCTGCTTTCAGATCGATGCAATATTTTAATTGCATTCATTATAAACCGGACTTATTCGTTGAGTCTAAAATGCAATAACAATAATATATATGCTTGTATGTATATAAATAGTACATACAACTAGTACAGAAACGTATAGTTTACCAACACTAGACTTAAAGACGCTATGTGCCTATATGACTATATTGTGTTTTTTTTTGCAACTTTTGAAGAAAATTAAGAAAATTTAAATGTTTATTTATGTTTTTATATATATTCTGAGCAAGAACTTACATACCAAAAAATGGCGTCTATCTTTCATAATGATCAGACGAAACATAGAAGTTAGCGGCTTGCGCAGCTTTCTCCGTGGCCCTTGGGCATGTATGTGTGTATGCGAGTTCTTCAGCACCTCTTACTTGTTTTTTTTTTTTTTTTTCATTAAAAAAAATACCATTTTGTCTTCATGGAACAAGATTTCTGAGGTGCTCTAACATCAGCATAAACACAATTGTGTTGTACACTTGGATGTCATAATAATTTATCCGAACACATTAGAGTACTTGAGTTGGTTTCAAGTGCAACAGCTGCCTTTCTGACCCTCACATTTCAAGTTCACCGCAAATGAAAATTATTTAACGAATTTGTGTGTAAATGTCAACGTTGCATTTGCTTGCAAATCTTCTACTTAATTTTTAATGAAAACTCCAAGTGCCTGTATTTTCGGCTCGTAATAGAGTATTTTTATGATTGTTAGATAACATTGTTGTCATTTAGATTTTCAAAACCAAGTCAATTAGTTTGAAGAATGTCTCCTTATTTTTATTTCAACTTATAGCGTATGATATGTAAATGTAAGGAATATACGACAAAAAAGTCATATATAAGGCGGTGCTCATATTTTAGTTTTACTACAATTAAAAGATGAGCAATGATTTGATTTACCTTCGATTAAAGTATTGTCAAATAAGCATAGTTAATTGTGACCTCCAAAGTTTCCCACGGCTAACGAAATAGCTCAGCAACAGATGCTGCAGCTGAGGAAAATATGTGCTTGAAATGAAGAGTGTCAAGCAGGAGTGCTTAGAAACGCTAATTTTAATTACTTTTTATTTTTCATTTGTATATAGAGTACTCAGAAAACCAAAAATATGTAAAGGGTAAGACAATTTCTCAGCACGGCTGTCAACACCAATTTAAAGTGCTGAAACAGATCACGGGAAGTTACAACGTCGCACAGTACCCAATGAGACAGGAGTCCTGTGAAACGCTCTTTTGCCGCTCAGCACAACTCGGGATAATTTGACACATGTTTCAATTTAGAAAAAAGCTGAAGTAATCGTTAAACAAAGCCAAAAGTAAATAAATTAGCTGGGTGCACAATGCGCTCATAAAAAAAAAAGAAAAATATACTTAGCAACCTGATACCGACGCCAGGACAGTACAACGGCAGCTACGAGCTAGCTATAGATGCTACTGCAGCACACTTACAAGATGCACAGAACAATGCAAATGCATCCGTTTGGTTACAACGATAACATTTTCTCACGCAGCACCAGCAACGGTACTTGAACTGACAGTTGCACGTCATAATTTAACAGTTTAAAATGTGTTGCAAGGATATTCGAAACACAGCTGCCATAGCTCCTGTTCGGAGTGTTTACAAAGGATTCCCTTTTTTTATTTATCTTTGGCTTTGACTTTGACAGGAAGGCGTGAATAATGTTTATTAACATATTTATACACGGTTCAAAGATCGAAATGAAAATGTTCGGTTTCAATAGATTGGTTGCTTTCTTATCCTCCAAAGAAAATTACACACTCGTATGATTAAAAATATTCATTGAGCTGGGCAAGGCTGGGTAATCCCTGCTGTTTTTTTTAATATATGGGAATGGACCATGTGGATATCGAAAATAATCAGGTTTTATATGAAATTTGTCAAAAAATGTTTTTTTCAATAGTTTGAAGTATTTGAAATGATAAGGAACGAACTCCCAATACATATAACAATTTTTTCGTAAAATAAGTTTTATAATTAAAATGACTACCAACAAATATATATTAAATAATGTTTTCATTATTTGTTTAAAAAAAATTATTCTATTTTTTCCAATCATATCCCACCTTGCACATTTTATATTTAGAAGGTATATACAAAATATGTGTAATGCAACCGCAGTATGGGGCCAAATTTGATTTTTACATTGGCTGCCGTGCTCCGTACATGCTGCCTATTTTTGGAGCGCGCTTTTTAGAGTTCACAAAACTGAGACATGCCATTGACGGTCGCATAAAAAGAGCATAATATTCTATTTTGAGTTGACATTTTGAAGAGCGTCGATGAATATTGCAAGCACAACAGAAATAATTTTTGATAAATATAAAAATCAATTTATGGAAAAAAACAACTAGAGGACGAATATATATCATCACATGCAGTTCAGTTTATTTAAACTAAACAAATTTCTCATCTTTGAAATATATTTTTAATAGAAGCAGGATATGAAGTTATAAAAGATAGTTAAATTAATATTTTAATCGATGTATTCAATTCTTTGAGTCTCTAAGATCTAAGAGCCGATTTCGCTGTGATTGCTGATCATTAATATATATATAAATATAGTTTTTGGAAGGCACAAATTACTTATTCCATATATCTGCATAGATATTTAAGCCCATTGCTCCATTCTCCGCGTTCAAGTCATATAAATGAATACTATTATGTATTTCTTATAGTAAAACAAAGAAAACATCAAAGACCCTGGGCGGATTGCTAGACCACATGGAGCGGCAAGCAGACAATTTCTTGGCTCACGTAGCTGCGCTCCAGCGCACATGTGATGCACTGCTTGCAGCCATAGAAGGGCACTGATCGAGAGCTTAGCATTGAAACAAATATATTGGGGAAAATGACAACCACTAACAAAACAATAAACAAAACTCAGGAACAGTGCAAATCAAACAATGTTTGAATATATGTACATGTGTAAATGTACATAGGCGCAGCATGAAATCGATGTTATGAAAAGACAACTACGCGGGGGCAGGAGCACATAAATGCAGCTATAAAACACTCGACGGTTTTTCATGCATGGGCCTGATCGACAATGCAACTGTAATTGTAACCCTAGCACATAAGTAATTAGTCCCTTTTATTTATGGAACAAAGCAGCTACGCAAGCGCTGTGCAGTGACGGAGATGGGTGTTTTATGTACGCATGTGGCTATGTGTGTACATGTTCTTGTGTTGTGATGTCAGGTGCTGGGGGTCTTTCCGTGCTGTACCAAATGTCATAACTGAAATTAGAATTTATTTCTGAGATGCTGCTTATATTGCTTATGTATAGTAATCAAGATACATTCGACGGCATTGTATTTCGGATAGTACAACCATCTTAATGTCATCCAAAAGATCTTATCATATAATATCGTCCAGGAATAAGAACAGAAGTAACTTAATATTAAATTTCAAAACTATTGACGATATATTGAAAATAAAGTGCACAGCTCGCGGGAGCTGATTAGGGAACCTCAACTCTTACTTTATTTAATACGACCTCGTTGTTTGAACTACAACCTGCACTTGAGCCTAATCGTCCTTCGCTTATAGAAATTTGCTTTTGATAATCTGTTATATTTGCTGTATAAAGAAGTCATACAAATTGATACAGTGCATTTACGTAAACATTTAACAGTTATAGTTCACGAGTTCTTAGAAGAATAATTGCTGAAACCAGCCTTTGAAATAATAAAAAAAACATAATCAAAATTAATAATTTTCGTTTTATATAAATAAATACTCTTCAAAGCTTACATTTAAAATTTGGTCTAGGATACTTGTCTTTAACTGAATTAAAAAATGCATTAGTTAAATATCATTACCCTAGATGTTTTAGGTTTATTTCCAATAAAACAAGTGTGCGCTGCGCGCATCGAAATTATAGAATCGTAGCAGCATATAATCCTGCCATTTAGTCGGCAATAATCTGATGAAGAAAAGTTTACAGAAAGAGGAGGACTCAACGTAAACGGCCATTTCAATTATGTTCACTTTACCTGAAAAGCCATACACTAAGTGCAAATATTTTTGGCACGTAGATCATACGCTCATTTAATAGCACGCCTTTAACAATTTTGTCTGCCACATAGGGAGTAGAGAGGCCGGGATAACTTTTCGATATTCTGCAAAAATTATAAATATTAAACAAACAACTTTTCTGAATTAAATAACATTTGAAGTCTACCCCGCATCGCTTAGAAGCGGCAAATCTCCGCTGGTCCTCATTAAGTATGTATTGGCGACAGTTGTACGCACATAGTCACAGTCCGAAAGGCGCAGCTCCGCACGTAGTGCTTCCATGAAACCCATAATGCCATACTTTGTTGCCGTATAGATTCCCGCGCCAGGAAGCGGTACCAGTCCTATTTGCGGGATATATTATCCGAATAAAAAAATCATTCGTTGATAGACCAATAGCACACACCTGCCAATGCATTAACTGCCACCAAGTGACCTGATTTACGCGTAATCATCTTTGGTAAAAACTCTTTTGTTGTCTAAAATCCGCATTTAGTTAAAATTAATAAAGTAAATGTGAAAACCTATCACATACCATTATATAGGAGCCGAGGTTAAGCTGCAAGATGGTGTCGATTTCATCGCTTTTCAGATGCGGCGTCGATGTCATTGGCATCAGGGACGCATTGTTCACCAGAATTTCGACGGGACCCAGCTCCTTTTCCACTCTAACAGCCATCAACTGTAGTTCACGTGGTGAGGAAACATCGTTCTATAGTAAAAGGAAAATTAACATTATACCAGCACATACGAATACCACTTGCTTACCTTATATGCCTTTGCCATACAGCGAGGAATTTTAGATAGCAACTCTACTGTCTCATAGCAGCCCTTAGAATTGACATCCACGACGGCTACCTTGCA